TGGGTTGTTACCGACATCTGGTGAAAATTTCATGTCATTAGCACCTCTAGTAATATATTTACTGAGAAAAATGGTGACGTGTTCAATACTTGGCCATCAGCCAATCAATAGATTGATGAACTCTGTTTATTGTTCCCCATCAGGGGAAATACCATTGGTGGATCAGGTTTTTGATTTAGGACCAAGGTGTGAATTGAGTTTAGGTTAGTTTTAGGGTCAGGTAGGTACACGTGAGGTTAGGTTTAGGGTAAATGATCTGGGTTAGGCTATAAAATTACCAGAAAATGAATGGAATTCAATCCATGGTCCCTACAGGGATATAAAAACAAACCTGTGTGGGTGTTTATCCTGTGAACTATATTCAGTTTAAAAAATACGGTTGTTTAATTTACAGTGAGTAGTTATGCTAATTTACATAATAATTGTGAATTTACATTCTATATAATTCTAATTACATTCCAAAATACAAGACAGGAAAATGTCTTAATGCCACTATTTAAAGATTCTTTTTTTTTCTTAATAGTCAAAATAAATTTGAAGTAATTTACCTTTGCTCACAAGAATGTCTCAAAAAGGCAGAGCAAGTGTACAGATTGAGTTTATTTGTTGATTGTCTCTTCACACATCCATGCAGGCAGCAAGTGGATCGCAGTTCCAGGAGAACTTCGAGGTTATGAAAAAGCRCACAAGCTGTATGGAAAGCTGCCGTGGGCCGACCTCTTCAAGCCCACCATCAAGCTGGCCAGAGAGGGAATCAAAATTCCTGAAGTTCAGGGCACCTACATCCCATTCATCTCTAATGAGAGCTCTGCTCTTTGGTATAGAAGAAAACATGACTCACAGGGTTACTGAAAAACATGAGCTGTAAAAATATACCTTTAAAGCATTTCTCTTGTCATGCTTGTCCATTTAGGGACTTGTTTTCAGATAAGAATGGAAAATTGCTCAAAACTGGAGACATTGTGAAATTTGAGAAACTGGCCGACACTTTGGAGACGATTGCAAATAATGGAGCAGATAGTTTCTATACTGGGAAAATCGCAAAGGATTTAATTCATGATATTCAGGAGGCAGGTATTGTCAGATACATTTATCAAGTTTCTTTATTTGAATGTTTTCTGTATTTGTGTGCTTGTATGGTTCAGTTTCTGTATTTGTTGCAGCGATCTCTCAGATTCTGCCCTGATTTACCAAACTGATTTACCTGCTTTTGAGAAGCTGAGGTGATTTATCTTTGGTATTTGCTCAGGATTAAGCATTTGTTTTGCCCTTTTTCACTAGGAGGAACACTCACACTGCAGGACTTGGCAAACTATAACGCTACAGTGACCGATGCGTGGGCTGTCCCTTTTGGAGAGTACCAGATGTACATACCCCCACCTCCTGCTGGAGGAGTCCTCCTCGGCCTCATCCTCAGCATCCTGAAAGGTTCCTGCTGAACACAGATGGCAGAACTGTTCTTTATTGACACTTAAATGACCAAATGAATGCTATTATGAAAAACATTTGTTACAAAATGACCAGACTGCTTTGATTAGCAGTTGTATTTTGGTATTTGTACTTTAAGATTACTAATGTGTTTAGGTTTAAGTTTCATGCAAAACGAGACTTTTGACCTATATTTTATTTCATTTTATTTTAGAAATGTATTCATTTCATTTAAAACTAAATACAATAACTATATACAATAGAAAAGAAATGTACAAATGAAATAAAATGAAAGGTAGCAGAAATAAGAAAAATATCTTATAATATATGCCCCCCCTCCTTTTTTTTACCAAAAATATATTCAAGCAATAGCGATTTACAGAAATTCAAGCAATAATGATCTTTAAATGGGGTTCAATAAAAGTTGTTTAAAAACATTTACCTTTTTTGTTTTTAGGGTATCAAATGAACTCAGCACCWAAGTCTCTTAATGAGAGGATACAGTTTTACCATCGCTACATTGAAGCTTTTAAATTTGTCAACGGACAAAAACTACACATCCGGGATCCACACGTTGTATCAGATAAAGTGAGTATTAAATAAGGATATAAAGTATAAACTTTATGAAAGTTCAAAGGACTTTATAGAGCTGCAAAATGTACTTTGTGCAACTCATACCTGATTAGTTGTAACTTAATAAAGTGGACTTTAATATCAACTGTTTTTTGTTCTGTTTAGAGATTTTGTTACAGAATGTGTAAATAAATTATTAGAATTTATCAGTTTGCTTTTGTACTTTTATTTTCATTATTTGTGAGCCCTTGTTCCTGATAAGAGTATAAAATCAGACCTGCACATTTTACCTGGTTATTTAATTGAAGCTATCATGTTTCACTGCTCCTGAATTTGTAATGAGGTGAAACTGCAGTATTCTCTTTGTGCACTTTTTACTATGAATGTTTCTTTGTTTTATATTCTTTAAGGAAACATATACTATAAATACAATTTGAAACAGAGGTAGATAAGAAATACAGAAACAAGGAAGAAAAAGATTTTAAACCGGCTGCATATCTCTTACCATTTTTTTCTGATCTAATCATCTCATGTTAGACTCAATTTTTTTACCCAGTATGTTTTAAAATCCCTTTTTTTATTTTTTRTTTTTATAGAAAGCCAAAAAGCTCCTAGAAGACCGTTTTCCCAGCTACATCCGGACTCTGATCAGCAGCAACAGGACACATGATCTCCAGTATTACAACATGACCTCATTCCTAGACAGCATGGGGACCTCACATGTGTCGGTGCTGGCTGAAGATGGCTCTGCTGTGTCTGCCACCAGCACCATCAACCACATGTCAGTACCTGAACAAGTCAGGAACAAGCTAGCACAAGGTTTTATTCATTTATGGTTAGATTAATTATGGAGGGTAAAAGAGTAAGGAAGTCAAATGGTTTTTTGAGTGCAGCAGAAGTTCACTGCACAACAAGRAAGCTGAGTTTTGTTTTGAATCGAGGCCAAATGCAGAAGGGACTTTGCTTTACGCAGTTTAAATCTGGTTCATCGAGTTTATTTATTTATTTTTTATTTTTTTAACAGATTTGGCTCCAGGATCCGCTCTGCAAGGACTGGAGTCATTCTCAACAACGAGATGTTTGACTTTTGTGGAAGAACTGACAAAATCTTTCCTGGTAACTAGATTCACATGCAGCATTTTACGCTTGATAAATAACAAGTTAGTTAATATTTAGCTGTAAGTATTTTTGTATTTAATCTCAGACACAATGAGCTGCTGACAGGAAGTTAAAGATTAAGTAAAAACAGAAAACTTGTCACAGTCTGTCTAGAGATGGGATCAATGGCTCTTTGAAAGGATCCAGATCTTGGGGAGCCGTTTGTTTCATAGAACCGTTCAAAAGAGCTGTTTATTTTGAACGTATTACGTCATCACATAGGGAAATATGTCATCACGTAGGGAAATACGTCATCACATAGGGAAATACGTCATCACGTAGGGAAATACGTCATCACATAGGGAAATACGTCATCACGTAGGGAAATACGTCATCACATAGGGAAATAC